CAGGAATCTGGAACAAGCTTTTACACGCACGTGGCCCACGCACGGTGCCTTCCCCTGTTCCCTTCTGCAGAGGTAACAAGGGGCAGGAGGCTGGGGGGTGCAGAGGGGCAATGGGGCAAGCACCCCGCTCCCCCAGCCCCGGGAGAAGCCCATGCAGAACAGGTACCTCTGCTCCAAGGCAGCCAAATGGTAGCATAGACCCAGGCCAGGACCCAGCTCCCTGCCACCAAAACTCCTCATCTTTTCCCATAGTCTCTCAAGACACTTTGGGGGGTTCCTCGTCCTGTTCTGGTGACACCCCCCTCCAGAAGCCAGCAGGTTTTCCCCCACCTGCCCCCCGCCAGAGCTCTGGAGCTGCTGCAGCCAAAGCAGCAGATCCTGGTGGATATGCCATGCTTTCTTGGCATCTCCGTGATGCTCTTCGCTCAGTCACTGCAGGGACAAAGCCTGACCCAGCCACAGCCCCTTCCTCCCCACCCCTCCTCACGGCCTGCTTTGGAGAGACGCTGACTCCAGCTGCCCTCTTGTTCCAGCACCCGTGGAGCTGCCCCACGTTCCCCCTCGAGCGCTCCCCGCTCAGCCTCAGCGTTCTGGCAGAAGCCGTCCCCAGGCGAGGTGCCTCCGTGAACACCCAAGGTAGGTGAGGGATGCTGGGGTTCCCCAGCCCAGCAGCAGCCACGGCGTTTCCCTCCCACCTCCAGGTCTCCATCGAGTGGTTTGGGTCGCGAGCTGGGAGCTCCCCTCTAACCCGAGCCCCCCTGCCAGCAGCCCCACGCCTGCAATTAAGTTTTACCATCCCAGTCCGAGTTTCCCCTGCAGACTGCAGGTGTTGGGAGTATTTTTTCCCCTGGAGCGATAAACCAGCCCATCCCACAGCTTCACAGCCAGTGCTCCCTGCCCTATGGCTGCCCGGCAAGTGCCGCGGGTCACCCGGGGGACTGGGGCTGGCTGCGGTCTGCAGGATCACTGAGCTTGCGCTCCTCTCTCCGTCCCAGAGCAGGACTCTGCCTCTGGTCCCTGTTGTGTCACTGGACGCTGTTCAAACAACTGCCTAGAAGCGGTGCCAGCTCGGAGACAGCCGAGCTGGACACTCAGCAGCACTTCACGGCCCTGGGGCAGGGGTCATCCACACCGTTTCGCTTTGCTCCCACAGGAACCCAGACCCTTACACACCACAGCGCAGG